CCGAATCAGATGGCGAAAGTTGGCTCGATAATCTCAAGGCCTAAACCAGTGAGTAGTGGTGTAATCCAGGGAAGTGTATTAGGCCCACTCCTATTCATAATATATATAAACAGTATCTGTGAATGCTTTAGTGTTGGCAAACCAATAATATATGCAGATGACTTAAAAGTGTCCTATAAATGCAAGAACACAGATCTCGGAATAACAGTAAACGCCATACAGCAAGAATTAGAAAAAATGGATAGATGGTGTGACACCTGGCAACTCCAGTTTAATGTCGACAAACGTGGCTAGCTCTGCATAGGTTGCAACAATTTAGAACTTGACCTGACAATTCAAGACCATGCACTCTTACGACTGGAATCTGTAATGGACCTGGGACTGAAATACTCACATGACTTATCATTTTCTGAACATATCTCCAAACAAGTGCCAAAGTCACGCAGACTTATCGGCTTTCTACTCAGGAACTTCTACAGAAGTGAGTCCAGGATTCTGTTGTACAACGTTTGTGTGCGTCCTTACTGTTCATTCATGTATAGTAGTATACACATAGAGGGCAAATTGAAAGTCGAGGGAGTGCAGAGGTACTTCACGTCAAAATTACTCGGAACCGAAAATGGTGCGAACTACTCCACTAGATGTGACACCCTAGGATTAGAAACATTATGGCTAAGACGCCTGAGACTAAACTTAACATATGATAGAGAAGATTTGTAGCTCAGATGGATGATTTTGATGTGGTTTTGTTCTCTGAGCTGGATGATTAATTTGCGAAGCTTTCATCACCCTACTGGGTGACATCTTCAGCGCATACTTCAATTTGAAGTGAGCTTTTAGATTTCTCCACGAGTTTATTAATCATCTCTCCTGGTGACCTTGGACATAATTGGTTGTTTATGTGTGTTTTACATCTTCTAGGTTACTTGTATTGGAACTGACTGTTTCTTTGACTTGAACTTTGGCCCTTTTGTGTTTGAGGTTTCTTTCTTATCGGTTGATATATTTTGTCGATCTCTATGTGTCTATTGATTGATGATTTATCATCAGTGATAAACTTATATCCATATTGTTGCTGAGCAGTTAATATTCACAACTCTTGTCGGAACAGCTGAAATTCACGCGAAGAAAATACCCACAAGCAGTAGAAATCCATTAGTTAATGCGTCTAAAGCTTATGTATTTTACTCCCAACAATGACATTGCAGATCAAATGAGATAAACATATCACTGATTTCAAAATAACACATCAATGAACTATAATTCAAGGATTCTGCACACAACAAAATTATGTATGAAAATTGAATTCGAGCTCCATTTTTTTCCAGGCACTTATAACCCATCCACCAAAGACCTGGTTTTTTGGAAATGCGAAGACAATACTTCTGTATTATCTGATGTGTTGCACTCACTGACAATCTAGCGGATTTTTCCAACTGTACACAGAAATGATTGTACATAAGTGAAAAGGATGTTTTATACTATTCGGATTAATATTTATCAAGTGTATGTATAATCTCCACCGTACATGTGAAACATATTTTGCTATCGATTGTAAATTGTGACTAAATAATATGGTTCTGTTTCTGTAACAATTTGATAATGCCTGTAAACTGGCGTCCCACATGTACTGTACTATGAGAATAAATTTATCTATTTATCAGATATTCGCAATGTATCCGGAGTAAACAACACTGTGGCAGATGCCTTGTCGCGCGTTTGTTCTCTCACCCAAATCGACGGCATACACCTCGTAGAACTGGTTCGTCTTCAAAAAGAAGATACCGAGCTCCAACATGAGTTGTCGAAAACAACTCTACAATTAGTTGAGAAACCCTTAGGTAGGGGAAGAGATACTATTCTATGCGACATTTCCACGAGTACTCCTCGCCCCATCATGCCTAAAAGTCATCGCCATAACGTCTTCAATACGTTGCATGGCTAATCTCACCCAGGTATTCGAACTACTGTCGAGCTCGTAACCAGTCGGTTTTGTTGGCCTGGCATTAACAAAGAAGTAAGGGAATAGGCACACACGCGCCTAGCTTGTCAAAAGTGCAAGGTAATAAGACACACCAAAAGCCCACTTGGCACCTTTCTTCTCCCTGACGCTCGTTTTGAACACGTCCATATAAATTTAGTTGGACCCCTTCTTGAATCCCATGGATATACCTATATTTTAACTTGCATTGATCGATTCACACGATGGCCGGAAGCAGTACCCATCAAGGATGTATCTGCTGAAACAGTTGCACGCGTCTTTGTAGAAAGATGGATCGCAAACTTTTGATGCCCATCTACCATAACAACTGATCGCGGGCGGCAATTCGAAAGTGGCTTATTTTTCGCCCTGACTAAAATCATAGGTTGCGTGCGTTTTCGAAAAACAGCCTACCATCCTCAAGCTAATGGTATGGTAGAACGTCTACACTGAGAGCTGGTCTATCAGCTGCAAACAACACCCATTGGACTGAATCCCTTCCGTTAGTTCTCCTAGGGATACGAAACGCCTTGAAAATCGATTCTGATTGTACTAGTGCCGAGCTAGTATATGGCATGACACTGCGACTGCCTGGTGAATTTGTTTCTCCCTCAAGCTTCCCACCAGTGGTAGATCACGCTTCTTACGTCAGCAGGCTTACAAACGCAATGCGTTCAGTTAAACCTGCTACCCTTCGTCCACAGGCCATTGATGTTTTTGTTCACCCGTGTTTAAAAACTTCTTTACATGTATGACCTCTGGAACCCACATACGACGGACCTTATAAAGTAATTAAACGTTCGGATAAATTCTTTGTCTTGGACAAAAAAGGCCGCGAGGACACCGTCAGCATTGACCGTCTGAAACCGGCTTACTTGGAGGGTAATCCTATTAGCGTAGAGCTCAACGTACCCCATAATCCACAAATAACCGAAGATCGTTTAGACCTAGGTTACTTGTATTGGAACTGACTGTTTCTTTGACTTGAACTTTGGCCCTTTTGTGTTTGAGGTTTCTTTCTTATCGGTTGATATATTTTGTCGATCTCTATGTGTCTATTGATTGATGATTTATCATCAGTGATAAACTTATATCCATATTGTTGCTGAGCAGTTAATATTCACAACTCTTGTCGGAACAGCTGAAATTCACACCAGATGCCCTCTTGGCATCTTACCCCTGAGTCCCATTTCTAACACGTTCATGTAGATCCGATTCGACTCCTTCCATATTCTTATGGATACACCTATGTCTTAAAATATACCAACCGTTTCACACGATGGACTGAAGCAGTACCCATCAAGGATGTATCTGCTGAAACAATCGCACGCGTCTTTATCGAACGATGGACCGTAAACTTTGGATGGCTATCCTCCATAACAAACGACTGCGGGCGGCAATTCAAAAGTGGCTTCTCCTTCTCCTTGGCCAAAGTCCTAGGTTGTATGCGCCTTAGAATAACGGCCTGTCATCATCAAGCTAATGGTATGATAGAACGTCTACCCCGACAGTCGAAGGCTGGGTTATCAGTTGTCAACAATGCATATTGGACTAAATCGCCGTCGATACTTGTTTAAGGCATACCAAATACCTGGAGGCTGATGCTGGCTGTACTGCTTCTGGGCCAGTATATGGCACAACACTACTAACGCCAGGTGAGATTGTTTCTCCCTCTAGCTTCCCACTGGCGGTAGATCACGCCTTGTGAATCATCAGGCTTACAAACGCAGCGAGTTCAGTTAAATATTCCCCCTCTAATCACAGTCCATAGACATTTTTGCTCACCCATGTCTGAAAGCTTCTTCACATTTATTTGTTCGTCGTCACGCCAAGCGTTGCCACCTGGAACCACTATACGATGGACCATATAGAGCCATTAAATGTATGGTTAATTCTTTGTCCCAAACAAAAAGACTACGAAGGCTCTGCATGCACTGACCGTCTGAAACCGGCCTACATAGAAGTCAATCCAATTAGCATAGAGCCAAGAATTCCCAATAATACACACGTGACCGATTATCTCTCACTCCCCTGTACTTTTAATGTTTGCCTCACATCTCAGCTTGATAGCTGTATATTTCTGTTTTTGCTGTGAGACTTGCAGAAGTGTTTCTCCAGTCCCACAATCGTGACCAATAATTCTTTCACTAATTGGTTTTGGTTAATGATATAAAAAAGCCACGAACTCAGTCACCTGTTAACCCGACGACTGATAGCACATATATGCTTGGAACAACGAGCAACAAAACTCTCAGAAAATATTGAAGTGAGAACCACGGCTTGCCAACACGCCTCAAGCATGGAGCTGCTGTGTCACTGCCAACTGAGACGCGGGATATAAGGTGCAGTATGGCTATGAATGCAAGACGTTCAGAAGATTTGGCCAGCATATTTGAACTGTCAACGCAGATTAATGACATAAAATGACAGGTCTGGAACTTGCAACCAAGAGGCAGACACAAAGAAATCAGCTCGGTTTGGACTAGCTTCTATGTGGATATTGGATAAAATATGAAATTCACGTTGTTCATGTTTTCATACTCCTCATCTCCCTGTGTTAAATTTATGAGTCAAATCCATATTGTGGTTTTTTCTCTTTTCAATGGTATTCTTTTGATTACTGCATTATATAATTTCATTTATTCACATAAAAGCAACAGAAACACATTGAACATCGAATGCTACCATGGAAAGGCTCTTAGGCTTATTTGAAAATCTGTAATTAGATATTAGTGAGAGACGATATACGGATTACTTCACTTCAATACTGTTTGCTGAAAACTAAAAAGAATTCTGTGAGACATTACTAGTTAAATTTACATGTTCCATTGCATAACTGCATAATATAAAATGTATTGTAGTGGTTGCGGTTTTCCTATTTAATTTTTTTTGAGTTTGCATAACATCGTGTATTCATGGATGAAAGGATTTCAGGTGTCTCTATTCCACAGGAAGTCCTCCTCAGATATGGGGGGATGTAAGTTGAGTTCACTGTGTTTAATTTCCACATGTGCTGTAGCACTAATATTCAGAAGGAATACTTGTATGGTGAATTCCAATCTCTAGATTTCGTCTACATACCAAGCTTCCTGAGATCTCAGATATCTAGCATCGACTCTTTGTGTAAGTATGTCTTTTTGCTGGTAGCAATATAGGACATTTTGTAGATCGTTACGGCATTTGTCAATCTCATAAAGTAATATATAATGAGAGTTACGAATACTTCGTGTGTCCCTCAGTGCTTCATACAAAGTCTAGCTCTTTCGACAACGAGCTTCGGTTTTGTTGTGGTGTTCCACCCCAGCAATATTGCTGTTCGTCATCTCAGTTCACGTAAGTTGTCAATATCATGTTTGATAGTGTTTATGGTCGTTGTCAGTTTACTATAATAAGGGTTGTTTTTAGTCTATTTCACTATGACATAAGATTTATAAAAGGTTTACGCAAGTTTTTGCATGAATTATCTGAAGGTTGTTAAGAGGATATTAACATTCAATAACCGGCTACTAAATAATTCATTGTTATTCGTCAGCATCCACTGTGCTAACTACGCATAGTGCAGTGGTTTACTTGTGAGTGATTCACAGTGCATGGTTTTTCGCACTTTAAGATAGATTTCTTTATTTTTCAGCTCCATTTTATTGTCCCCATTTGATATTGTCTATGCATAAAGCACCACTACTTTGTTTGAATTGTTTCTGATATCTGTGAGCTTATAATTAAGTACTTCAATTAAGCTGGAAACATCTGTATTATTCTACATACCTCCAGGATGCAAAGTAAGGTGAACTATTATAATGGGAGAAGCCTATCCATCTTATAGTATAGTATATATCCATCTCGTAGTATAAAGTGTGGAGTTACTACCACTTTAAAATAAATTTTAACACGGAGGCATTGGCACTTTTATTAATAACTCTATAGTCACTCCGCTTATTTAAATTAGAGCAATCATTAATTAAAAATGAGTGTTCTAGACCAAGACCAGGGACGTCTTCACGTTTTTCCAAATGACGTTTTCTGTTGATCGTATATTTTAGCCAGTTTGTCACCAAGTGACTAATCAGCACAAAACCCCTCACAGAAGTGAATCGTTCGGGGTCCCAACACTTCCCAATTATTGGATTTTGGTATTTCTAAGATTCCATGTAGGTATTATACACATCTTTGCATATCGGGAACATCATATTTCAGTCTGACCACTTCTAACTTGTTTTCAACTTAATCTTAGTTCAGTTAATATCTCGTGTCAAGGAAAATGATGAATTGGGACGTGTAACGCAAGTCCCAGCCACCATAATCGGTAAAAACAAACAAAAAATGCTAATCGATCACAATTCAGTAAATCTATCAGATTTAATTACAACTTAGCTGAGTACTGTACATACAGTGTTAATTGTACCATGAGAATTACACACATGACTACTTAAATGAACAAAAATTGGGAAAATGAAAGGTGAAAGTGTATCACGGGTCAAGTTGAGAAAAACAGTCGGTTGAAGTGGTAATCGACGTTGAATATTAATATTATGGAGGATTAACGTGCAGTTACAACACTACTTGTCTGAGAGAGAATTGGAAAGTGAATAACAATAGTGAAACAAGTTAAGACAGTATCACTTACGGAAGACAGTTTTAATTGAAACAATTAAATTAAATAATGATGACGACGGTTGACGAAGCTGAAGACATTACGATGGCAGGTTTTCCACTTATTTTTGTACACAGAGACGGGGATTATTAACTCAATTTCACAAGCGTTCACTATTGTAACCGCGTTTCTGCTTATCTATCTGCTGATAACAGTGGATGACTTGACATCACCATTATCGTGTCTGAAACCTATTAGATGCTGTATTACTGGACTTTTCTTACTTCGACTTCATCATTTTTCAATTGTATCGGGAAATAAACGTTTGCAATAGTCGAAGAAGCTGCAGGGATGACGTCTATAACATACCTACTCAAAGTCATTTATTATTATGCTTTTTTCATATGTAGCGGTAATAGTATTAGTAGTACATTTCACCGCAAGATAAATTATTGAAATCTACAACACTGACCGTAGTGTGGTATCTAGTTAAATGATTCTGTAAGCTTGAAACAGAATGCCCAAATTTAGATGAGCATCTGATTCTTAGTGTATATTGTGTGATGGGCAGTTGGTGATTCGTGTCTGTTCTTCATATGGGAATCTAGATTAGAAGTTTTAACTTACCTTAAGTCCCTGAACTAGTTATTAGCCCAATTCAGAAAGCGCACACTACCACCTATTTGGAATATATGTCTGTCATCTGTTTTCGACAAATATTACCATCATAATGATACCCTTATTTTTCAGTCACGTCGTCCACAATACAATAACTGAACAAGGCTAATGTGTTGCTCCTTCTAGATTGTCATCTGTAATTAAGGTTTCTTTAAATTCGAATTGATCCACGTTTTACACCAAGTCTTTAACTCATAGGGAAATAAAAACGCCAAAACCATTTCCATCTGTAAAACATTTAAATTCAACTTGCTAATTCAGAATTAAATAAATTCAATAACCATCATTATATATCCTTCCGTCTTCTCTTTCTGATTTTGGTTTTAGATCTGGGATTCATGTTATACGGTGAGTTTTAGTTTAGTAAACTCATACGTTTTTATTAGTTCGAACTCAGTTAACCAGGGAAATTTTTTTTATGTATCAGGCTATAAGTCACACAAATGGGGACTGCTGGAAAAATTTGACACAAGTTACTTCCTTCACTTATCTAAGAAGCACACTTTCAACTACAGGTGGAGCGGATGAAGATGTCAAAGCCAGAGTCGGATAGGTAAGATACACAGTAATCAACCTGAAACCAGTTTGGAAATCCTCTGCACTCAGCCAGCAGAAACAACAAGACACGGGTTTTCAACACAAAAGTGTAGTCAGTCAGTTCTTCTATATGGGTCAGAAACTTGGTGGGCGTGTCACATTTGCAACATATTACATACTTCATCAAAGGCTGCCCACTTCTCTGGCTCCCTAGTAAAGATCGAATGTCCGGAAAGGATTAGCAACAAGGAACTATGGGAAAAACCTGATCAAGAACCAATCGTTCAACATATATGTAGATGAAAGTGGAGATGGATAGGGTACACATCGAGGAGACTGTCGAATGACATCTCGCTAAGTGAAATTCCAATGGGAAACGACGAGTGGGTCGTCGGTGCGAAAGTGATATGGGGGAGATCGGGCGAGTTGGAGAAAATAAGAGATTATGGGCAACCGTGGATCCAGCTGAAGAGAACAGCAGAGAATAGGGGAGAGTGTACATGTGTTGTTGAAACCCAATGTTTCACTCGGAACCTCACCAACCTGAAGTCTTCCTCTATCGCTGTAAAATATAAGCTCCCTTTTGTGACCGCCTCCATATGCATCTATCACTTGACATGCTGTTGTGGAGCAAGGTACATTGGCTTTATCCAGAGAACGCTTTCCCCAAGGATATGAGAATATATGCCAGCTTGGTTTCATAAGGGAGAAAGGAAGGCTGTGCGAAGCTATACTCTAGAACTCTTGATCGACTCCTGTTACTCTACCGACGCTGACCGTGATTTTAAGATCATCTACTGAATCCGTGTTGACTTGCCGAATTTTCTTCGTTACAGACTTCTAAAGATAGCGGAGGCCTTGGTTATTCATGAATTTAAGCCAGACCTTTATTTACAAAGGAAGTATGTACAATCACTACTTCAGCCTTGACCGCAGAGGGACAGACATTTATTTTATTTATTTTGTTAATCTATATACCTTTCTCTCATTACTATACTCATTTTAATCTGTTTCCGCTTGTCATTCTAAATCCAAATTTTTTTATAGTATTGAATTCTATCTTATTAAATTTCACACTATGTTACTTAAGGTTTTGTATTAGCCTATTAACCCTATAATTACACTCTCCCTTTCCGACATCTATACATCTGTACATCATTTGTTTCTTCTAAGCACTAACTTCAAACACAAGGAGAGACACTGTTTGACTTGGAGACCCCCTTCATCAAACCAACGCTGGACACAAATAGACCACATAGCAATAAGCTATCGTTGGCGTGGGTCGGTAGGAGATTGTCGCTCCTTCTGGAACACGTGTGTAGATACCGACCACGCACTGGTCCGCGCTCGGGTGTGCTTACGACTGAACGGACGTAGGAAACAGCTGGCGGTAAAACCATCACGTCCCCAGCTCGATCAGGAAACTAAATCCGTATTTGAGGAAGAACTAGCTAAACACATATCTGTGTTCGACAGCTGTGCTCACCCTGAAGAAGCTTGGAAAAATATCCAGGCAGCCATAGATACAGCTGTAAAAGCTGTGAATAAGGTAAACCCAAAGGTGAGTAAAAACCACTGGATCTCCACTGCCTCATCCGAACTGATAGATGCTAGAAGACTTATTCCGGCGAGCTCCGAATTCAATGAGGAGCGAAAGCTGCACAAAAGGAAACTTACGAAAAGTCTCCGCAAGGACCGTGAACAGTGGTGGGTGACAAAAGCGAAAGAGATGGAGAAAGCTTCGAGGATAGGCAACACCAGGCAACTATTTAGACTCATCAGGGAAACGGGTGGGAGAAGACAAATCATTAGTGAAACAATCTCGGAAAAAAATGGCACTATAATTAGCTCACAGGATAGACGACTGGATCGTTGGAAAGAGCATTATGAGGAGCAGTTTAATTGGCCCACAGCCACGCTCAACCTTCCGAGCATCCAACACCTCCCTGAATGGGATATAGACACAGGTCCTCCATCCCTAACTGAGGTTACTAAAGCTGTCACCAATCTGAAACTAGGCAAAGCAGCGGGACCTGATGGAATGACTCCAGAGGTATTTAAGTACGGTGGAGACAGCTTACTGTCTGGATTAACTGAGGTACTAGGCAGCGTCTGGGAATCAGAAGAAGTCCCATCGGGTTGGTGTAAGTCACTGATTATCCCCATATACAAGAAGGGAGACAAGTCTTCCTGTGATAATCACAGAGGGATTAGCTTGACTAATATAGTATCTAAAGTCTTAGGCTCAATAATCATGCGTAGACTGAGTGGTGCTCGGGAGGCACAAACACGAGAGAGCCAGGCAGGCTTTAGACCAGGAAGAGGGTGTATTGATCATATCTTCACCCTCCGACAGATTCTAGAACATAGGCATTCCTACCGGCGTCCAACAGTCATTATATTTCTTGACCTAAAGGCGGCATTCGACTCTGTCGATCGAGAAGTTCTCTGGAGATGCTTGGCTGTAAAGGGAATTCCGAGAAAGTATATTGCACTGATTAAGGCACTCTACTCGTACTCATACAGCCAGGTGAGGGCTTACGGCGAGCTGTCATCTGAACTGGTGACGACCAGTGGTGTCCGTCAAGGATGCCCATTATCTCCTTTTCTATTCAACTTCATCATAGATGTACTAATGGACTTAACCCTAAGTGACTTCAGCGACTCAGGGATTGACTTGCTACCTGGGAATAATCTCATTGACTTGGAATATGCAGACGATATAGTCCTTCTAGGCGAAGACGCTGACGAAATGCAGAGTCTTCTGAACACCTTGAGCTGTAATCTACGAATGTTTGGCATGCGATTCGCTCCCGCCAAATGCAAGATGATGTTACAGGACTGGACTACATCGACGCCTAGTTTAAAAATAGGAAGTGAAGTGGTAGAGCACGTTGACCGCTTCACTTATTTGGGAAGTACCATCAGCCAGTGCCAACGGGTTGATCTCTGACGAAATCTCAGCACGAATACAGGGGGCTCGTTTCGCATTTGTTAGTTTACGCCGACTCTGGCGTAGACGAGATGTTCGACTATCGACCAAAGGGCGGGTGTACTGCTCATCAGTCCGCTCCGTCCTCCTTTATGGTTGTGAGACCTGGCCACTGAGAGTGGAAGACATGAAAAGACTAGCTGTCTTTGATCATAGGTGCCTGCGTTCTATTTCCCGTGTAAAGTGGCATAATAAGGTGAGCAACATTGAGGTTAGGCGTAGAGTTCTAGGTAAACAGGGGAAATCAATCGACGAAGTCGTGAAGTTACAAAGACTGAGATGGTTAGGACATGTGTTACGTATGCCAAGCCATCGCCTCCCTCGACGAGCAATGTTAGCGGATATAGGGTCAGGCTGGAAAAAAGCTAGCAGCGGTCAAACAAAAACTTGGCACCAGTCAATGAAATCCACAACAGTTGGTCTAAGCCACGTAGGAAGGTGTAGACTTCCTGGTTGGGGTCCTCGGGACGGTAAAAATCTATGGTTGGTAACAATTGGTGACATTGCTCAAAATCGTTCTCAATGGCGCAGATGCATCCACTCCTTGTGACTTATGATCTCCAATGAAACTGTTTTGTTCTTCGTTATTACTCCTCTGTCTCACACCTCTGCTTACTGTTTCTGTTATGCTTTTCTTGTACTTTCTTCTCTTGCTTCGCGTGCTACACGGAGTGTGGCGACTTGAACTGGCACACATTTGTGCAAAGTTCCATGTCGAAAATAGACAGACAGACAGATACATCCTATGGATTATTCTATATATATGACGTCAATTGTTTTGCCGATTGACATTTAACTATGATTGTAATCACAAATATTTTAACTGCATTTCATTATTATTATTTTATGCACTCACACCTATGATTCAATTCCATCACCGGATATAATTTCTGAAAAACCATATATATATATGCATATATGATTGTACAGTTTGATAAATTCGTTGAGGAGTCTCTTCGTTGAATATTGTGTTCTTAGTGTTACAATGGGAATTATTAAATTACTTAAGAGAAATAGCACTGTCAAACTTTGCTTTACATGAATTCTTCCGTCGACTGAAGACAGTAAAAGTACTCACAATATTAGTTTCTTAGTTTGCTTTCATTTGTGTAGCACATGATTGTACTGTGGCATTTAAGTGCTAGATGTTTTCAAAGAGTCAAGTGGATTATCGTTTGTCTTTTTCAGATCTACTCTTTCCCCATGAACACGTAAATGGGGATACATTGTTGCGGTTAATACGAATAGATTTCTTTTTCATTTTCACATAACTTTTTGAGTACAGTATTTTATAATGTTCTCAATAATTAAATGTATTAGCCCTACATCTTACTTTTCATATCAATTTAATAAGTTGCCATTTTATAATTTATTAGCTGATGAATTTACTGATACTGTACTTGTGATAACTCTTATTTTTTTATTAAGATTACGTATGCTAAGCTGCTTAACATCATATTTAATTTATAATATAGAAAGTAAAAACTGATTTTTACATATTTCGATTTGTTTCGACTTTGTGTACATATCGTATTTTTGCTTTTTGATCTTTTTTCGATTATTTAGATCAGATCTGTTAATTTCACCCTCTATTGTTATTGGCGTTAGTATTGGATTTCTTCTGCTCGCTGTTTTCATGATTATCTACACATATTCAAAATTAGCATATGGATTCCGCCAGAGATCTAGTAAACTGTTTCATGAAACAAACTGCGTCTCATATGGTCCAAATATCCCACGTCAACTATTGCATGTAATGTAATCCTAGTGACATCTTTAATTGAATGCTTTTGATTATAATTAAAATTTATATTTTGATAATTTGTTTTAACAAACTATGCCTTTTATAACACAATTTCTCCTTTAATGACACATAGTCTGTTGATCGTAGGTTTTATTTCAGCAATAATCAAATCAAGGAGCGAAAATGCTGAGGTTGACTGGTATTTTTGTAGCAATGTGAACCATATTGATTACTTGTTATTAGTTGTATCGATATAAGAATAAAATTTGGACATTATTGTAAGGTGTGAATTAGTAGTTTTGTTTGATATAGCAAATAGTCCTACAGTATTGTTTATTTACTGACGACGTTTCGAGCATAATTTATTGTGGGTAATAGTTAATGAATATTTAAATAGGGTGAGTGGTTTTGAATTCACGCCTAGCATGCTCATTAGGAGGAATGACAAAACACCGATACCAAAGCTACGGAAAATATGATTACCAATGAAGTCAAAGCGTAAGAAATAATAGAACTGCATGAATTTAGTCCTACAATTATTTGAGACCCTTAATATGGGCAACAAACTTAGCTAGAAACGTTATCAGGAAGTAAATAATACTTTATCACTCCTTTATAGATAAAATTCATTTTGATAAAGTCTCGTAGTGTTATGTATTAGTATTTACTGATGACGTTTCGAGCACAATGTTTTGCTCACAATTATATCAAGTCACTCACTCAACTTTCCAACTTCACTTACATAATCCCTCAAGTTCTATTCTCACATCAATACTTTATCACTGTGTGTTATATCAAATTATTTTATCATACAATTATATTGACTATCGGTTTGAACTGCATAGAGATTGTTGTTAAGGTTTTTCAAGCTGCTTACACGGTGTCTGTGTACAAGAACTTTTATGGGGATTTCAAAATTATATAGTCTGTATCTCATTAGTGGAATATTGGTACAGGTTTTTAAATTATCGTAACTTCATTTTCGTGTGTTTTAATTTTATGCTCTTTTGTAGACCCTATTTTGATCCTATTGTTGTGCAACTGCATTTTAATTCTAAAAGTTATTCATTGTTAACACAGTAGAATGTATTTCCTGAATAGAACTTATCTTAGCAAATGTGTTATTTTCGAAATGATTTGTTGAAGAGAAAAATTTATTCGGCAATGTCATCGGATGCTCGCAAACACAAAAAAAATCCCAGCTCACAGAACTTTTTATGGACTAAACTGCCTTTTATTTTACAGAAACTAGGGAGTCATTCGGATTAAAATTTGTTTGTTTACATGATGTTCTATATATATATATATATAATATTCTGTTAAAATTTAATATTTCACCACGTTTTGAAGCTAATGCACTACAGATTTTTGTATTTATCTTCATTTATTATCAAAACAGAGTTCGGAATTACCTCTTTCATCGGACTTGGAGTCTATTGAACCTCCCAAGAAAGTTTTACTATCTAGTAGTCGACTGACGAAAGTCTTCCCCGAAAATACGAACAATGAAAGTCTCTCCCAAAATGTAAACAATGCATTACTAATACCTTATAATAATTCCGAAAGTGAACGAATAGTTTTGATCAGTAATAAATTAAATAGTTCTCGTAAAGTAAATGCCAACTCTACCCCTGTTAAAGCCCGACCTGTTATACGAAAGAAGAGATAAAACACATCGTTCTGAATTTTTTGAATTTCTATTCAAATTTTTTCACTTATTACTTTATGTTCAATAATTTCGGTTGACATCACACACTTTATTGAATTTTTGTAGAAATTCACAATTCCACAATATATAAGAATCGTGTATCATATATATATATATATATATATATATGAAGAGTCTTTTTGGTTTAATGCCGATTATTTCACCATCTTGTTAATAGGATGAACTCTGCCTTGACGTGGAAACTTGTCATAATGAGTTGATTCGATGCAATTGTTAATGAAGTCCAATGCAGCCTTTGTTTCATTGAGCTTAGCGTTCGTTATACTTCATGTACTAATTGAGAATCTTCAACACTTTAGGCGGCTCACAATATTTTAACTGGTCAGAAATGGCCGTAAAAATTCTTCAAGAGAATAGCTCCAGAACAAAGAATATTCTTTTCAATAACTTTATCATTAGGTTGTACAGTTAGACATACATAATATTGAATGAATTAGTGTTCCTAATTTTTCTGACATTCAATGTGTTGTTATGTTGATGCTATCGAACTGTAATCCATTGCTATTACTATTGATTTGATGTTATTTAAATAAGATTAATGTCGTTAATAACAATCATTCATCCACTGTTAAGTATTTATGTAACTGTAGGAGATGATGATAAAGTTATCGGAAAGAATATTCTTTGTTCAGTAATCATTACTTTTTAAATGTTCTTTTTGATGATGTTGAAGTTAATTAACTGATAGTTATGATTCGTTCATCGAAATGTTGTACAGGCTAGATCTCCCAGTTCACCTGAATACCGTTAAAGTGTTATTGTTATGTACTAGTTTTCCCCGTCGCCAAATTGTTATGTACTCGTCGCTAAATTATTGTTATAGACTGGTCGAGAAACTAATAGTCCTGACGCGAGAAGGCGGAAATCAGAAGACCACTAGGTTTGCGATGATACTTCTATTGTCCAAACACAAGGAGACGAAAATAAATGGTCTCACACCAAAGTGGTAAGTAAGTAAAGTAAAGTCACAAGATTGTGAATGCGAAATATATATGAATGTTCCAGACAAAGCGTGGGAATAAATCATTAGACAGTCTTAACATGAATGGCTAATTATAATGGAGTGTCGATCCAAATATACATAGCGAATATAGCAGACATGTCAACAACCACACATATAATATGGATATATGTCACCAAGCAACGGACTGTCAACAAACACTCATATTATATATAATATAATATAAGGAGAATATACATTGTTAAAGGAAACAAGTTCATACCAGTGAAATGGTCATAGACTAAGAGAGCAAACAGAAAGAGAGACCAACATACACACACACATAAATATATATATGTGGATACATATCACCTCCCGTTTTGAGAAGATGGATGATTAGTAGGATGTTTACCTGGGGGTTTATCTGGAACCTTTGAGCTTGTTGTTGACGTCTGTCGTTTCGTCTGCCTGTTGGGTTTGCGGCTTCGGCTTCGTCCGGAATTGTCTAACATTTTATGCTTCTTGACTGCATTGCGTAGAGAATGTAGTGGGACATCAGCCAGATGCAAACGATCGAACCAATCAAGTCCCAAAAGATTTAAATCACTCTTGGTGACGTAGCAAATTCCTGTGAATTTGGTATTGCGGAAGGAAACGGAAAATTTGAGTTCACCAATAAGTTTGAGCCGCCCACCACAGGCGCTGACTAGAGACTGGGAAGTATTGGTGATAGGTGGTCTGCCAATATAATTCCAAAGTTTCTCTGACATAACAGTAATATCAGAGGCGGTATCTAGCTGCAGACGTGTATCATGACCATTCATCTGAAGATCAAGATATTTCCGCATAGCTGGTGTTGCGACTAGACTCAATGATCCTTTTGGAGATTTAGGACCAACAGTTTGTCGAGCTTTTGCTGGATTATGATATTTGGGTTTGCGTGGCTGACAAAAACCATTTTTATGACCGACGATGTTGCACTTGCTGCAACGATGATTTTTGTACGGACAAGACTTTACAAAGTGCCACAGTGCCAGCATGGTGATGGAGGGGTCTTCTTTGTCGTATTTTGTGAAGTTGGACGAGTATCTGTAGATTTCCGCGGAACATTAGAAGAAGGTGGGTCAGGAGTGGATGATGAGAGATTTTTGCTCTTGCGTAATGCACGAATATCAGAGCTTCTGGAAGGTGTTGATTCGACCAGGTGTGTGTCTTTCTGCAGATTAATCAGCCGTTGATATTCATCAGCTATGTCATGTAATGTTAACTTAGGATTTTCTTCTAGCTGATTGAGCAGTCGAGTTCGGATATCTGTGAAACGAGGAGATTGAAGACTGCATATGAGGATCAAGGCTTTGAATTGATCATCTGTTAAGGACCTGAGTCGAAATCTCTCACATTCTCGGTTGACTGTGCCAACATGAGTAAGAAAATCATCATTTTCATTCATTGTCAGCTTGAGGCAACGATAACGTATGCTGAATAATTAGGAGTGGTCTCCAAAATGTTCACGCAGCAGCTTTATTGTATCATCGAAACACTTGTCACGTGGTTTCTGGGGTAAAATTAGGTTGCAGTACCGTTCATATTCTGCCGGACCCAATTTACGTAACAACACTGGCACCTTCCAGGCATCGTCTTGTGAGGCGAGATCAACAGTGAATAAATCCTCATAACGTTGATACCATGTGTCAAAGGTGACATTAGCCTCTGGGTCATAATTGAACTGTGAAATACTGTTCACAATGCCGTCGACAGATGGTAGCATGGTATGATTGGGATTGCTTGAAGGTGAAGCTGGACCAGTCTGTTGGTTGACGAACATTTCCATTAATTTCAATTGTTGTTCAAACAATAATTCCAATTTAGAATAATCCATAGTAAATTGTTATGTTGCTGCTGCTGAGTGGTTAATAGTAGTTTTCCCCGTCGCCAAATTGTTATGTACTCGTCGCTAAATTATTGTTATAGACTGGTCGAGAAACTAATAGTCCTGACGCGAGAAGGCGGAAATCAGAAGACCACTAGGTTTGCGATGATACTTCTATTGTCCAAACACAAGGAGACGAAAATAAATGGTCTCACACCAAAGTGGTAAGTAAGTAAAGTAAAGTCACAAGATTGTGAATGCGAAATATATATGAATGTTCCAGACAAAGCGTGGGCGCAGTTATCAATTCATGTTATGGTTGTAGTTGATATCTCTCCTCTCGTTTTATGTAGTGAAGCTTCAGAACACCTTGAAATGTTCAACATAAGATTGAAATAAATTGCATTAAGTATATATGAAATAGCACTGCAGTGTATGGAGAACAGTAACCACTATCATATTTCACATTCGTAAATTCTGACCAATTTTTATTGGTCAGGTTAACAGTGTAACTAAAGAAGGGTTAGTTTAGTTTACTTAAACGATTATCAACTAGTTGGGCATAATCAACAAGGGGCCGTATTTGCAATAATTTCCACCGTTGTTGAAAGAGAAAAGGAAATCAATAATGATCAATATATTTCTCAAAGAATAATCACTTAAGTTGTTTCAAAATATTTCTGATTTTGTTTAAATTCATAAATCTAACTAAATTAGTATAATGGAAAATTACCGAAGTCCCCAAATTCAGATGAAATTGTATCCACAAAAATGTTGCGTTGTATTCTGCCAGACTGAAATACGCTGATCTAGTGGAAAAAACTGTAGTAAATTTCCAACGTAACATTATAATGGATCGGCAACAGTTAGAAGAGAAATTTCTCTAACTTAATGATAGTAAATTGCCCTTTTTAAGTACATAGCAGCATATCTAACGTTGTTTGATCTGTACATTACAAATACTATTTAGAAGACAGAAACTACAATGAAATTTAGTGGAATATAGACATGGTTCAATTTTAACATTTTCAAAACGATTATTGAGTTATTTAATGTGTCATATAATATATATATATATATATATATATGACACACCAAGAGATAATGCCCAACGGAATAAGTTATTTTGTCGATCATGTCTAAAAATTGATCGTATTAGAATCAAAGTTCTCTATAATTTTCGGTTAGATATGATGAAAATTCTACTTGGTTCATCCACTTGGGAAATCTCCAACTACTCAAGAAGAATAATTTGGCTAGACAGAAGTTGAAGCGGTTTTCAAACTGTCACAATAGCAGTCGTGTGTTCAAGCCATCATAGTCTGGTTGATGAACCCCGTCGGTTGGCTTAAGCAGTTCTCGTGTAATATAATCAGTTAGTTATACATATTTCAGATTTACTAGTGTAAGTTGGCCTCGAAAATTTTCTTTATGATAAGTGAATTTAAAGACTACGTAGTATATGCTTGAAATTTGTCTTTATCCATCAGATTATTCATTTGTCACATACACACAGAATATACAGCTCAATACTTTTTTAAGTTAAAGATTCCTGATTTGCTTAAAAATTTAAGGTTCGTTTTTTTTGTTCGTTTTACAACCAGTCTCATTTCAGGCAGTTTGTAATAGTAATGACAATAACAATACCAATGACTGCATTTCTAACAATATTTTTGATACGGTATATAGCCGATAACCTGTAAATCTCAATAATTTCGTCCTTTGTAGGGAATTCGGTATTTTCTACCTTACCGAAGTTTGTAATCTAATAATTTTTCCTACAAGAAAGTGCATCAGTTTATTTTTTGTTGCATGAATAATAAATGAATCTTCCAAAATGATAGTTTAGAGACTGAGGGTGTTGACGTTCACGGATAGTATGATGTATACTAACGCAAGGTCTCATACTAACAACTTCTATAGTATTCTTTCCGCGTAGACCAAAGACAAAGCAAGACACCAAATTGATCGTCCAAAATACGAAGCCTATTTCGGGACCGAAATCGTAGTTTGTGAGGATAATTGTTTAACTAGATAAAGATTTTGTACGATCACCCGGACATAAGACGACGCTGAGCCAAATATTGTGGATGCTTGACCGCAAGCCTTTAGCTAAGCAAGTCGACTTAAGTAGTGAAGTTCAGCATCCAATGCAGAGTGATGAATGCTGTGGCTAATAATCTGGGGAATTATCTACCGCTACAGTAGTAATAGATCATTTGGAGGTAAATACTACTGTCAAAACTGTTTATTTTGTCATTTTTATCACTCTAGTAACACTAGTTAATTGTAATTTTTGTATAAGCCAAGATGACAAACATAAATTATGTCATTATTGATATAAGTATAAAACTTTTGGTCACTGTAGTAGATTGTATTTTGATAAATCACACAGTGTTATACAGTAATATTATCTGATGACGTTTCGATCACAAACTATTTCTCATAATCATATCAAGTCACTCACACAACTTTTTACTTCATTTATATACATGACTCAACTACAATACTGGTGACGCTTCAGTAACATATTTTTGTGCTTCATTAGAATCATCATTCAAATTATCAAAATTAAGTGAGGAAGTACAACAAGAAATACGTCAATGTGTCATACCTATATGTTAGGAAGAGGCAAAACACATGCAATTATCATGTCTCAGTCAAGTTATTAGCGTGTCGTTGACATGCATTTGTTTCTGCTTTCTGATTGGACGCTTGCACAATTCCAAACTCAACCGGATTAGTTGATTTCCAATCTACCTTATTTTTGTATAAATACAGTCACTTTTGTTATAAACAAATGATTC